TGCATTAGTGGTGGGTAATTGGTAGGAACTTCATTGGGTGTAAGAGGCTAAAATTTCCGATTTTGCCCCTGCCATGTTCGGCCATTTCCAGGCCAATTTTTAATGGTTTAATGGCTTGAATTGAATGTTTGTAGGATGTATTAGATGTGTGAAAAATTTCATTGAAAAATAATGAGGTTTGAATGGGCAAATGAATTTTTGTTCGAAACCAGCAAATCTGGAAAACTGATTCGCGTATGCTCTGACCAGCAGTAGTATTTTGGCTATAACTCTGTCCTCGGATGTCGAAATCATGTACCGTCAGTGGCGTTTGAAACTAGACATTCCAAGCTTTAATTTGGTATATAATGCACATTCTGATTCTTTGTGAGCAAGCCGAACCAAATGTTTTAAGTTCGCTGTCCTGTTACTCTGTTCTTCTGGAATGAAGTGTTCAGGCAGCAAATTGATGCCCGAATTTGAACCAGATGGGTGCCGAATTTGGAAACGATTTCTTCTGTGATATTTTAACTCTATGAATGCATTTTCCAACGGCGTAAGCCATGCTCGATTTCGAGCTCTAATGACTGAGTTGTGACTGAAACAAGTGGACTGCTCTGTTTTGGAAAACCCTAATCTTTGGACTGGTTTGGAACAAAATCTTGGAGTGAACTTGTTAGTTGATGTTTTTGATATTAAACACTTACCAAAGGTATTATGGATGTATCTTAGACCCTTATTTCACAAATGAACCATGTTTGGGTAACTTTCTTGGTTAAACGATTGGAAATTTGGAAAATGAAAGTCAAAGGCAGATTGCCTTAGGATTTTTCTTGAACTTTGGCTGGCTAATTAACGACCTTGCCGAAGGTATTTTTCCCCGAAATTCGATAGAGAGATACCTTCCATATAGTATTGAAATACTGCCAATTTTGGTGCCGATTCAAGTTCGTTTCGATACCCAATTGAATTACTAAAGTTAGAGGTTCAAATCTGGAAAATTCTCATCCAGTCTTGAACTTGCTCAACTTCGGGCTACCGTATCTCGGTGCTCGAAACTCCGATTCTTGATCCGCTTGTTTTGTTATAAACTTCACTTGCAACACTAATTGAGCTGCAAAATTCAGAGGCCGGTTTACAACGTGCGAATCGTGCCGAATTTTCAAAGTTGGCCAAAATCCAACTTCATTCTGCCTTGTGAACCAACCCTGCACCTTCAAGCTCATTTTTTGAGCACTTTCCACTTCGATTCATGGAAAAGCGTCTTCTAGGAACTTATAGTACTTTCTAAGAGGTTTCCAACGGTATAAAGTTTTCCAATTTTTGACTTGTACCGAGTGAGTTACGATTTTTCAAAGATTCATAATAAAGCTGAAAATTTTCCAATTTCAAAGAAATAGAGTTTTTCAAGAACTCTTTACACTTTTGATATTATCTAAACGTTTTGCCCACGATTTTCATGATAAAAACTCAACTAATATTATACTTCATAAAACGCAAGTTGAATCTCGATTTACGAGTAATTGAGGTTCATTTTTTGTGAAATATTCCTTAGATCGTACTAATGTACAATCTTACTTGATAATTGAGATACTTGAGTAATTATCCACCATTAACTGCCAGGCACACAAGGAGACCTTCAAGAGGATCTCACCGTGGACACTTGAACTCCAGCGAATAATCTTTATTAAATTGCTCGGTGAGTGTCAAGTGTGTGAATCTTTGATACTTGCTTAATTGTGGTAATTATTAGAGATTTTAAAAATAAGGGCGGGTGCGTACTTTATCGCATCCGTTCTGTTTTCAAATGAATGAATGAAATGTATTGAATGAATGAATGAAATGCAATGCTATGTAATGGTTACATATGTCGTTGGAGTGAACCTCCTCGACTTTCAAATGAATGGGGGACGCCCAAACTCATAGGCCGACCTTGAACTCGAGCCAGCAATGGGCTTGGTCGGGGATTTGGACGAGCCATGAGATACAAATAAGCTCGACCTAATAAGAGGTCTTGCTTGGCATACTCGTTGAGTATCGCCCAATATTGGCCATTGTGGGCCCTTGGGGTGTACGGTGGACGGAGGGAAGTAAGTGGTGATCTACGGAAATAGAAATACCGACCCGGTTGACAGGAGTGTCAATGCGGGAAGGTATACGAATGACATCGGCAGAGCGAGTGGAACTTAGCTCCTGAGAGCTACTATATCCTTGAATTGTTTCTGATTATTTTTCCTGCTCAAATGGTACTTTATTGAAATATCACGGTTTTATTTGATAAAGTCGAGATTGCTATTTGAACAATGTGCTTGCATGTGTGTCCTTGGCCTCACGAGCGTTTTGCTCACCCTGTAGATTTGTTTTCCTTAACAGGACTGGAAATGGAGTTAACGCGGAGAAATCTCCTTTTGGATATATTGTGTTTTAGGGTTTCAGGTGTATTTTGGCTTGACCCCTTTATGATTGTACTTTGGAAGTTTAATGTATCATTCGGATATCTGTGATGTATATTTTGAAATTTAAGTTGTATTATGAATGCACGACGTGCGGGTGGCAAGCTGATAGGTACCTTGTGATGTAACCATGAGAACTGTCACAGTTGGCATCAGAGCCATATGCTGACAGGTTGGGTAATGGATGGATATTGTTAAGCATGAACGTTTCCGCACTATATGTATTCGTATTAATTTGATTTTGGTATCTAGTATCGCTTTAAGGTTGAACGTTATTGCTTGAGTCCTAGCGAGAGCTAGGCAGGCGTTCCGCGGATACCCTTTGGTGCGCCTTAGGGAGAAGTGGGGGCGTCACATTTAAGCTATGGGTTGATAGCTTTTAGCTTTTAGTCGAAGGTTGAGGATTTTGATAGATTCACTCAAACACGTAGCCGTGACACGATGTGTGCGTAGCGGTGTTTGGGGAATCGCTCGAGCCACCGACAAAGAACCTTGGGATTGATGACCCTTGGTTTCTAAGTCTGAAGGCTCGGGGACCTGAGCTTATCGAGTCTAGATGCATTAGCGAACCCCAGCCTCATGCATCCATATTAGAATTGCCTTAGGGTAGAGTCGGCCTTATCCTGAGTTAGGGACACTATTCACGAGGGGAGGGATCCAACCCCCTTTTTCCCTTTTATTACTTTGTGTTGATTGTTTTATTTTGTTGCTACAATGTGTTATGTGTATTTCTCTGGCTGAACTAACTTTTCTTGGTTTTATGTCCCCATTGCATTCACAAACCCTATCAAATAAGAGGTCTGGCATGACCTTTCTTTTAGAACCTACCCTCGTAGATAGGTTATTGCACGTTTAAAGATTTTGGTATATTGCATTCATAGATTTTGGTAATTGCATAGCATTTTAGGCCTACCCTGGCAAATAAAGGGTTCCTTAGGTCACGTTTCATTTCGAATTGCACATTTTATCGCTTTAATAAATGGCATCATGCATAAACCCTAGAAAGGGAATGCCATTTAGGGGATCCCGTGTTAGGAATAAGCCACCTTGTGTCTCGGATACTTAATCCAGTGAGACTTGCACGTTTACATTTTGTACCATCCAAAGGGGTAGTGCACAAGGTAAGGTAGGATCCGATCATTTTCATAGGGTGATCTTTGGAATATGAGCATCTAATAATCACTTTTTGGCCATTTTATCAAAAATTGGTAAAAATCCCTTGCGTAAAGGACATTAATTTGAAGAAATTCACAAATGATTCCTCCTTTTGAGACGATAAATAAATTAAGGCCAAAATTTGATTTTTAGAAGGTCATAGACTAATGCACCTCAATGATTTTGAAATAACCAATGGCCGAACAATTCAACCAATCCATTTTGCCGATTCATTCAATAAATCGTCAATTCATTTTGACCAATTTACCCTTTTTAGGGTCATCTGGTCGATTTTGAATAAATCGTCAATTCATTTTAACCAATTTACCCTTTTTAGGGTCATTTGACCAATTTACCCTCTTTAGGGTCACCTGGTCGATTTTGAATAAATCGTCAATTCATTTGACCAATTTACCCTTTTTAGGGTCATCTGGTCGATTTTGAATAAACCGTCAATTCATTTGACTAATTTACCCTTTTTAGTGTCATGTGACCAATTTACCCTTTTTAGGATCATTTGACCAATTTACCCTTTTTAGGGTCATCTGATCGATTTTGAATAAATCGTCAATTCATTTGACCAATTTACCCTTTTTAGGGTCATTCGGCCGATTTTTGAATAAATCACTAATTCAATTTCATTCATTTGGCCAATTTACCCATTTTTCGGGCAACCGAGCCGATTTTGAATAAATCAAGTTTCGTTTAATCTATTTGATCGATTTACCCTTTTTAGGGTGATCTGATTAATTTTGGATAAATTAAATTTCATTCAATTCATTTGACCTGTTTCCCTTTTTAGGGTAATCTGGTCGATTTTTAATTTCATTTGACCAATTAGGATTTCAATGTCGAATTTCAAAATGGAAAACCTGGTCGATTTTGAGAAAAACATCCATTGCATCCAGCCATTTGATCAGTTGGAGTTTTGACCCGTGTTTCACTAAGAAAAATTGTCAAAACAAATTCTGGTCTCTTCGATAGGAAGTTCGTCAAAGTCAAACCCGTACATTTTTGCAAATTCTTGTATCGATCAAAAGTGATCAATCCATTCGGATGTTTACCTCATTTTGACAAGTGTCTCTCGTCAATCCAATTGACCAAATTATTTTTCACTCAATGAGTTGATCAGATCCATCAGGTATGGTATAGTGCCTACCTCAGAGGTGTGCATTTTCATTCTAGGCCTACCCTTGGCACAAGAAGGGTTCCCCCATAGGACATGCATCTGAATTACTTTAATTGTTGCTAACTCCTGTCTTTTCCTTTTCCTTTTTCTTTTCTTTTTGACAGCAGTCAATCAAGAAGGGTATCTAATAAGGGTTTTCTTACACTCTCAGGTAGTATATAGCTACCCGAAAAAGCCCCATTATCACCCGATCGCATAACCGAGCTTCAAGAGATAGTGTAAATATGAGTACCCATCCAGAATCATCTGATAGGCCCGCAACTACATCACCGACTGACTTGACAAATCTGGGAGCTCAACTGCGTGAAGTTCTAAACCGATTTAATGAGCTGAGCGTTGGAATGATGGCCCAACGGCGAGTAATCGATCAATTGGTAGCTAGTGGTGCTAGCGGTGAACAACATGAGCCCCTACCTCCTGGCCACTCTGAACCTCAACCCATATTTTTACCTTATATTCAAACCTCTGTTACTTCACAAGTCATAAACCCACCTGAGGAAGTCTTTACTTATCCCACTCATGGCCCACAACCTGCTTTTGCACCTTACATCCAAACTAACCCCCCTCATGTCCAAATTCCCCAAAATTATCCGCCAATTACTATGAGCATGCCATTCGAGCCACAGGGACCTTATTATTACTCTACCGCTGAGCCATTCACCCTAGATACCGCTGTTCAAGGGAAAGTTGAAGCCGGGGAGTCATCCGCACCAGTGGATAAGAATTTGGTAAAGCGATTGGATCGGTTTGAGGAGTTCATAAGGAAAAGCCGAGGCTTGAACAAACAAGGAGGTTTGACTACAACGATCTGTGCCTATTTCCTGATATGCAATTGCCAATGGGTTTCAAAGCACCCAAATTTAGCAAGTACGATGGAACTGGTAATCCCAAAGCATACCTTCGGATGTTCGCAAACAAACTTGGAAAACCGATAGATGATGAGAATTTACCTGTACGTTTATTTCCCGAGAGCCTAGAAGGCGACGCGTTGGATTGGTATTCCAATTTGAAGACTGAGGATATGAGATCTTGGATAGATTTGTCAACTGCTTTTATGAGGCAGTACGAATATAATTGCGAGCTTGCTCCAACGAGGGCCACACTTGAGGGGACTAAAAGAAAACCATCTGAGGACCACAAGACGTACGCGAAGAGATGGAGGAAATTGGCCGCCAAGGTGGAGCCTCCTATGATTGAAAACGAGATTGTTCGCACGTTCATCAAAGCTCATGACCCGCCTTACTTTCAGGAAATTTTTCGAATGACCGGGTGTTCCTTTGCTGAAATTGTCAATAAATTGGAAGAATTTGATGAGTTTGTGAAGGCCGGAAAAATTGTTAATGTGTCAACATTGAAGATGCAACTAGAGGCTCTGCAAGGCCAGAATAACAGTGAGAAGAAATCCCAATTTAAAGGAAAAGAAGAGGAAACTGCTTTTGTTGGGGATCAGGGCCCCTCGGCCAGACCTAGATTTTCAAACCGCCTTGTTTATTCATCACCCTATCCATACTACCCAAACTCCCGTCCTATCCACCATACTACCATTAACCATTCTCGACTTCGACCAAATTTACTCACACCACCCTTTCAAAATCCTCAACCAAATCTCAAAACTAGACATCGCCCTTCTTTTAACCCAAGACCTATTCCACCCCCTAGCTCAAATTACTACTACCAACCAACCAGTGACACCCAAAATTCAACGTCACACCGAACCTTCACCAATCTAGGTCGGCCTGTTGACCAATTATATGAGCAATTGAAAGCTGCCGGGAAAATTGGCGTTATACCTCCTAAGATCTATTCTAAGCGCTTTCCATCTGACTATGACCCTCCAACAGTCTGCACTTATCATTCTGGAGCTCCCGGGCATTCCACCAACGATTGTCGGGCATTGAAACATAAAATCCAGGATATGATCGAAGTCGGAGAAATAGTGCTAAGGAAAAATGGTGAACAAGGACCGAGCACCCTTTCCCGAACACAAGGACGTCTTTGAGGCATCCAACCCCAATGAAGAAATCTGAAAATCCTGGAAATGGCTGAATTAGTGAGGTTCCTTTTGAAGGGAAGTTTTGATAAATTTGGGGAGTTGTTTTTGTTAAAACAAATGAAAATCGTTCATACATGTGTCTTTTGTTTAAATATATTTTTTGTAAATAGTTTTCAATCAAGTGACTGCTAAAGACACGTTCCATGATATTAAGTATGGTTTTTCAATAAAATGTACAGTCTTATATATTGTGACTTACACATTCTTTTCAGATGGCCCAGAATAAAACCGTCTAATCCTTTGGATATCACTGTTCAGAAATTTGATGGCAGCGATCTCATAAATGTGAATGTGAATTTCAAAAATGAGATGAGTGGGAAAGAGGCATCTGAAAATGTTTCAAAGAGGCCCGAATGGAATAAAAGAAGTCCAAGCCGAATCGGGATCAAGATTAGGAATAAGAAGCAATTGAACACAGTCCATCGTGGTCAATATGATCAAGAGGATTGGTCTGTGATTACCACTAAAGGGTCAAATCATGACCATTCAGACGAGAAGGCAAAGCATTAAGGTGATTTTTATCAGTACAAAATGAAGCCAAAAGGAGAGTTTGCCGCATATTGTTGAGGTGCTCTTATCATCAAAAAGGTATCGCCTGGTGGAGCACTTGTTCCCTTAGCCAATCAATTTGGAGATGTGTAAGAAATTTTCATCTGATAAACGAAAGTTTTCTTTTAGAGTTAATGCGAAGAACGGAATGAAAGTCAGGCCCTCTTCTTTTCCCATTAAGACATTATATCCCTAGTTATCCCTTTTGAGCCTTCAGAATAAAATACTTCATTTGGCAACCCCTGAGAATCGCAAACCCCACATCGGGGCAAAGTTGATTTGAAAAAGAAAGAAAAGTCCCAAGAAGTGAAAAGCGATACAGCAACAAAATCAAAAGAAGAAAAAGAACCTCAGTTGAGCATAAACTGGGGCAAATTTTGTGAAAAATTCAAAAGAAAGGCAGAAGGTCGAAAAATCAAAAGAAGAAAGAAAATGAAAGAGAAAAGCATCCATTGAGCATAAACTGGGGCAAATTTTCAAAAGATGGATGAAAAAGGGAGAAAATGAAAGAACAAAGAATCTCAGTTGAAAATAGACTGGGAAAAGTTTTGGTTTAACCCTAAAATAGGGTTAACATGAAAATGCGATCTCAGATCATTTGAACTACTTTTTGAAGTCTGCCTTCAAGCTTTAACCTTTTCTAGCACCTCACCAGACCCCATTACAAAAGCCGAAAGTCCTGACTTCTGTTCTTTGCAATGGCCCTGTCAAGAAAATTTCTGATGCCGAAAAATTTTAGCTGTATTTCTGAATTGCTTGAGTATGAGGTTGACGCTATTCACAATGGAAAACCCACCAGATCAAAGAAAAGAAAACGGAAAAGCAAAAAGGAAAAATGAAATACAAAGGATTTGATGGTGAAGTCCCTATTGAGTGATCAAACAAAGTTCAGAATCTTCGAGTTCAAAATAGGGTCAATTTTGGGAAAATGTGATCTTCGGTGCTATGTCCTTGAAAGTTTTATTCTTTAGCTATCGTTTTCAAGCCACATTACAAGCTAACAAAGTCCGTCGTTGACTTATTCCTTCATGACAATCCAAAGTGAGAATCATGCTCATAAGAAATTCATCAAATCATTTGTGATCATAAGGGTATAACCCGTTTCCACATGTTTAGCTATCACTTCTGTCCATACGTTACAAGCCTAGAAAGCTTGTATGTTGACTAAGTTTTCTTGAAAATAAGAATCGACAAACTATTTGCTTTCACTAAGATGTGACATTGAATGGATTAGATACAATTGGGACACAAAAAAAAAAAAAAGAGAAATGAGACAGATTCTGACCTCCCATTTCCTTAGCCATTTCAAAAATAAAGTCACTTGATTGGTCCTGAAAAGATGAGCCAACCAGAAATGGTGACACATTACCCAAAACACCAATGCTAAAAGTGAGGAAGAAATCTTCTTGAATTTGGTGTTATTTCGAGGAATTCATCATGAAATTTCTGCATCAGTTCACACTTGACGTTTAAGATTTCTTCACATTGTATATGTGCTTCTTTTCTAAATGTTAGAAAGTGCGGTTTTTCTTTGGGAAATCATCTGAACAAATTTTTGCAATCAAGGGAGCCCACACTGGGGCAAATATTTTATTTGTGAGATTTCATGAAATAAGCCCATACTGGGCAAAAATTTTTGTAATACATTTGGGGATGTCAAACCAATCACGCTGTTCTTTCCAAATAAGAAATTTGAATGCAGGTCATACTTTAATGAACCCCTTGTACAGGTATTCATGATTCAAAATGACGAAAAAGCATCTGGTAATGTGGGAAGCCAATGCCGAAGAAAGAGAAGAAAGAAGGGAAAAGGGCCCTACACTTGGGGCAAATTATTTTTGAAAAATTTTCAAAAAAAAAAAACCAAAAATCAAATTAAAAAGTCAAAATCAAGTTCAAACTCTTGTTTCTTGAAAAATCAAATTTGATTTCTTGTGGGCGAAGCTTCAATGCACGCCGCGCATCATTCTGTTCCCCCCTTCTCTCAACATCTCAAATATCACTACGTTGGGCCTGGATTTCGTGCCGCCAACATTTCAAAATCTCGTTGGGCCTGGATTTTGTGCCGCCAACATTTCAAACATCACGTTGGGCCTGAATTTCGTGCCGCCAACATTCCCAATATCAAGTTGGGCCTGGACTTTTTGCCGCCAACATTCCAATATCAAGTTGGGCCTGGATTTCGTGCCGCCAACATTCCCAATATCAAGTTGGGCCTGGACTTTGTGCCGCCAACATTTCAAAATCTCATTGGGCCTGGATTTTGTGCCGCCAACATTCCAAATATCAAGTTGGGCTTGGATCTTGTGCCGCCAACATCTCCAAAATCAAGTTGGGCCTGGACTTGGTGCCGCCAACATTCCAAATATCAAGTTGGGCCTGGATTTTGTGCCGCCAACATTCCAAAGATCAAGTTGGGCCTGAATCTTGTGCCGCCAACATCTCCAAAATCAAGTTGGGTCTGGACTTCGTGCCGCCAACATCTCAAAGATCTTGTTGGGTCTGGACTTCGTGCCGCCAACTTCCCATTGGGCAGGCTTGGGTTTAGTCCCACTGACCCAATTCTCCACACTGGGGCAAATTTATCTTTGAAAGAGATATGGGAAAAAGAAAGAACCCCACACTGGGGCAAATTCATTTTGAAAAATGATCAGAAAGAAAAGGAAAACCCCACACTGGGGCAAATTTATCTCTGAAAGAGATATGGGAAAAAGAAAGAACCCCACACTGGGACAAATTTAGTTTTTTGAAGGAAAATGCAAAAAGTGAGAAAAATGCAAAGTGAAAGGAAAAAAAGAAGAAGAAGAAAAATCCAAGCAAGCTGGGACAAATTTTCCTCGGTTTCGTTCAAAAATTAGATATAATTTCAAAATGATGCAATCTCAGGTTATTTCACCTCTTATCAAAATCTGCTTTTAAGCCTGAGTTTTTCTTGAAAACACCCCACCTGACCCCGTTACAAAAGCCCAAAGTCCTGGCTTTCGTCACTTGCTACATTTCTATTAGGGATTTTGTTAATCAACTGGCACGTGATGTCCATAATGCCTTCGTTAAGTCTATAAGGGAAGCGCATTTTTACTGATGCCAGCAATCTTCAACTTACGTTCCTGAATCGACTATGGTTGAGCTCTTCCATTATTTCATTAGGTGAAAACCCACAAGGGCACCTCAAGAGAGAAAAAAAAGAGAAAGAAGAGGAAAAGAAAAGAAAAACCAACAAAAAGGGTGGGGTGCAACCTTGGTGAAAACCCGAATGGGCGCCGAGGTAGGTTTCTGCAATGAGCAAGCACAAAGAAGAACAACTGGGGGTTTGGTCCATTTAGATTTCTTCTCATTTTTGTCATACCTCTGGCAACGTTGAATTCCGGAGCTAAGATATCCAGAGATTTGAATATGACATCTGTTGGCCAAAGCTGTTATTTTGTAAAACATTCTTTTGCAAATACATTCTTAGGAAACTCATTTTTTTCCAAATTACTTGCATTCATGGCATTTTTGTAGAATTTAAGCACAAATGGTTAGGTGTACATTCTCGTGTATATTCATTTTTACATGACATGTGAATTTTCTTGCATACCTCATTCTTTATCATTGAATTGTGGTGAATGACAATCCCCGTGGTTTATTGCAAAAAGTATGCTAGGATTCAGTCATCTTTTGAGAATAGTTGAAATTCAGCCAAGCCAGCTACACAGACTTCACAATATAGCAAAGCACATACCTGGTCAGTTTGAAAATCAGAAAAGCCTTAGGGTGAGAAATCCAACTCAATCGGCTGCCGCAGCAAAAGTTGATAAAAGCGTCGAAAGACTGATGTTTACACGATTCTCAAAGGAAAACGGATCAAATGGTGGTGGCAATTTCTTTGTTTTTCTCTTTTGTAGGAAAATTGCATGCACAAATGAAAGTAGTCACACATCGCACTGGAATCGGTGTCGGAAAAGTCCTCCGGTGAACAAAGGCAGATCAAAAATATTGCAAGCAAATCTGATCAAAAGGTGCAACAACATCAACTATGGACCCAAAATTGCAGAAAATTCACCATACTGGGGCAAATTTTTGGGATTTCGTGAAGCCAGAATCTTACGAATCAAGGTCTCAAGGAGCAGCAACCATAATACAAATCAATTGATTGGTTGCACAAATTGGGGGAGACTGGGGCAAATTATTTTGACAAGATTCTCTCAATCAGGATTTCTGGAAAAATCAAATTCAATTTCTTGTTTTTTGAAAAATCACATTGAATTCTTGTTGGCGATATCTCAGCGCCCGCCGCGCTCTCTTCTATCTTCCCCTTTTGACAATCACACTTAATTTCTTGACCAATTGGACGGCAGGACCGGGTTTTATCCCGCTGACCGCTTAACTCGGCAGGACCGGGTTCTATCCCGCTGACCGCTTACTTCGGCAGGACCGGGTTTTATCCCGCTAACCGCTTACCTCGGCAGGACCGGGTTTTATCCCGCTGACCGCTTATTTCGTTGGGACCGGGTTTCATCCCGCCAATTCTTTCGGCAGGACCGGGTTTTATCCCGCTGACCGCTTATTTCGGCAGGACCGGGTTTTATCCCGCTGACCGCTTACCCCGGCAGGACCGGGTTTTATCCCGCTGACCGCTTATTTCGTTGGGACCGGGTTTCATCCCGCCAATTCTTTCGACAGGACCGGGTTTTATCCCGCTGACCGCTCACTTCGTTGGGACCGGGTTTCATCCCGCCAATTCTCTCGGTAGGACCGGGTCTATCCCGTGGGTCTCTCCCAAATTTAAATTTCTGTCCGGGTCTATCCCGTGGGTCTATCCCATTTACATTTCTGTTCGGGTCTATCCCGTGCGTCTATCCCGTTTACATTTCTGTGCGGGTCTATCCCATTTCCATTTCTGTTCGGGTCTATCCCGTGGGTCTATCCCATTTACATTTCTGTCTGGGTCTATCCCGTTTACATTTCTGAGCCGTGGAGGT